TTTAAGAACAATGATGAATAAATAATTTTCGAGCAAAATTTAAATGGCCGGCTGAATATATTACCGCAGGAGCCGCGGCCGCGGAATTTAAATGACCACGTCAAAGGGTTAAATAAATAAAATACAAGCCCATACAATATACTTCTTTCTTCATCAATATTCATCATCTTTCACTTTCTGTACAAACAAAGTTTTCTTACAGAAACATCCTATGTTGTTCACTATAGCAGCCATCTTACAAAGCCAGATCACAGATCCTGCAATGTTTGACATTAAGTGTGATGCTGATGATGACTAAATCCCTGCATATGTGGTAAAATTAACTCCAGGAAGCCAAGTCATTCCTATGAAGCTAATATTCACTGCCTATTAATGAGCCCCCAAGGTTTATTACTATGTTCTGAATTGTTTCATTTTTGGTCCGTTACACTATCAATCACAAAGTTAATAGAAAGTCCGTCGAGTGTAACAATTTGTAGGTCACTTCTTTATCACTTCTGCCTTACATGTTTCGGTTTGACACAACCATCAACAGAGGCACTTACTACAATTATGAAAACACTGTCGTTTATGATGTTCACAGTTATGTTTGTTGTGTACACAACACACAGCACATAGGAAACATCTAACCATAAGCCATACAACCTCAAGCTGACATCTCCCATCTTCGGGATGAATTAACAAGGAGGAGCTTAGCATTTTACATCAAATGTTTTAAATATTTTAAATATTTTAACACTAGCGTTTTAACTTAAAAACAGTTTCGGATGGAAAGTGAGAATTGATAGTGTACTCAACTATCCTAGCAAGTATTGTGCTTTTACACGTCAACATATTGTAGCAGCGTCCACACAACAAACATAACTGCGAACATCATAAACAACGACAGTGTTTTCATAATTGTAGTAAGTGCCTCTGATGATGGTTGTGTCAAACCGAAACATGTAAGGCAGAAGTGATAAAGAAGTGACCTACAAATTGTTACACTCGACGGACTTTCTATTA